TTATACCGGTGAATTTTCAATCCTATTACTGATGAAATCAAAATTCGTAAATTCTAAGTGCGCTTATGCATATGGAAATAATATTTTTTATTTTACTGGTCAACATAGGTAAGTAATTCACAAACTTACCTTCGACAATTAGCCATCAATATTGATAATTTACAATGACGATTAAACAGCTCAGGGGCAAATTCTATCAACAACCTCTCGTCTCAACGGAGTGATAGTGACTAATTTGTGATACAATTATATGCTTGAAGTTCCCGTGACAAGCGACAGGACATGTTGTCTTTTGCGCATTAAAATGTCGTAAGTGCTAAATTCGTTTTAGCGGAATAACTCTAAAACTAAAGGGATTAAAAAAATCCGTAACGACAATAGTCGATCGTGTATAAATATTATTAATTATCTAATTTTTGTCCTAATAACCTGTAGCATTTCGAGAATAAATCGAAAAAATGTGAAAATTAGAGGTCATTTCGTGATTTTTATCTATCGAGGAAACTTTATTGTTTTATGTTTCTGATTAATGTCTATGCTTGAATATATCGTAAGTTACTCATACAATATTTTATTTCTAAGTTTAAAGTGGATTTATTATTATTATATATCCTAAAATCAAATCGAAGATTAGTAATTTTTCCTCTGCTCCCTCTTAATGGATCGTGACCAGATTGAAGCCGACAAAAACACTTGATTTCAAAAACAAGGGGAGCACGGGGACAATATATCCCTACAGTGTTTTTTTTTTAATTGGGACAGTATGAGGTCGGTCTGGATCGGTCTGGGTATTCGCGCAGCAGTCTGCCTTGAGAATTTACCAGAATTTACCATTTAAGTGTTTGTATTTATTATGCATTTTCAATAATTATATTATTTTCATTATGTTCCTAGCTTCGTCGTTTTATACTATAAACAATAAGCATTATGGTTTTTTAGGCACTTATACTCACTGGTCAGGGTGACAAAGACAGAAAATATCTGTCCAGAAACGAATTCAAGAAGTTTTGTATTATGGTAAGTTAAGTTAAGTAACACTACATCATGAGTGATCAACAAACTACTTCTGAAGGCCAGAGTATAGGTGGCTACCGTGAACTAACAACAGACGGTCCGCCTCTGTAGGTCTGCATCTTATATCACCCCTTCGTAAGGAGACCTTTACGCTCTGAAGGGCACAGTTTATTTATCTTAAAAGGCATCCTATCACCGTTGACTTAAAACAGCCACCTCTTAAAGTGGATTACAGCGGTCTCTAAGTAAAACTAAGTCATTCTAACATGATTTGTATTTTCCTTGATGTTAAGGATGCATTTGATAATGTAAATATCGAAGAATTGATTCAAGTTTTATATGATATTGGAATGCCAAGTAAAACCTTGCAATGGTTATTTTAAGTTTTTAAATCAATTGTTTTTGCGAAACACAATAATAAGCTACATGGACCCAAAACTGCCAATAAGGGAACAATGCAAGGAGCTACTCTCTCTTTGCTTTTATACAATTTATATACTTCAGAGATTTTAAAACATGTATAGCGTCTGGACGGTAAGCTAGAAGACGTTGTCGGTTCGAATCGGGCCGGATCGAAGCACTTCTTTACCGAGTGTTCGATCTTTGTATTAATAATTATAATATAAATATTGTTTTAATATCTGATTCCAAAAGTGTTTTAACTTTTTTATTTTCTAGTTTGTCATCTTATAAGTCCATTTTTATGTAACATTGTTAATTTAATGGCACAGCTAAAACAAAAGGGGATTAAAGTAGAACTAGTTTGGGTTCACCCACACAGTGGCATAGATGGAAATGAGACAGCTGACAGCTTAATACACACGGTCCCCGACGAAGACCATGAGAACACTCTTCAAATTCCTTTCACTGACTTCTATACATACTTCAAGGACAGAAAACTGTGGAAAGAATACTGGGACATTACCTTACAGAGTAAAGGCAAGTGGTATGCTGAAATACAGAAAGACGTACACGTAAAAGCGGGATGGTGATATACACTTCATGTAGCGCTGTCTCACAACGATTCATTTTAGGTCCTAAACCGAATCGTAATAAGAGTTCATAGTAACACCCCAGGACTTACTATTTAGTAATAATGAGTTTTTTATCCCACTCTATAAGTTTATTATAAGTACGGTAGAAAAAATTTAATTCACATCCTATTTATGTAAATAATTACTTAATTTGAATTTGTTGTAAGTTTTTTGTTAGTGTTAAAATGTCTTCGACTAAAGGTATTTGTATCCAGGTTAAGCAATAAATTAAAAAAAAATGACAGTGACATATAGAACAAGCGAAAGAGAAACGAGCAATTCACAAATTAGAAAGATAGTAGGAAGCAATTTGTCAATTCTAAAATTGGACAAAAAGCACTAAAATAATATAGGTTTAGGAACAAAATATAAGTTCATTTAAAAAGACTTTACATCTTCAAGATAAAGGTTGTGGTAATAAACCACGAATTGTTTGAAAGTCACTGCGATGCCACTCTTATGACGTTGAAGTTTCTACGGCGGAAACGCACTATAAAGCAAGCATGATCATGAGTGAATTATATATCGCCGTTGTCTGCTCATCTAACATGAACCGTAGTATGGAAGCGCACGCTTTCCTCGTTAAAAAGGGCTTTAAAGTGAAGTCGTTTGGTACCGGTGAAAAGGTAAAGTTACCTGGTGCGTCTGCCGACCGCCCTAATTGTTATGAATTTGGGATCCCATACGATGATATTTATAATGATTTGTTAGAGAAAGATAAAGCTTATTATACTCAAAATGGGTTATTGCACATGTTGGATAGAAATAGAAGGATAAAGCCATGTCCTGAAAAGTTTCAAGTGTCTACTGAGCGCTTTGATGTGATTATTACTTGCGAAGAACGAGTTTATGATCAAGTGATTGAATGGTTTGGTTCACGGAGGTCTGTCTTCAATCAACCTGTTCATGTGGTTAACATTGATATTCAAGACAACCATGAGGAAGCGACCATTGGGGCGTTTTTAATAAGTGACATGGTCACCAAAATGGCGCAGAGTGATGATTTAGATAATGATATTGATGAACTGTTACACGAGTTTGAATCCAAGTGCCACAGACCAATACTAAATTGTATTATGTTTTACTAACATATATATTGCAGCTGCAATGAGTATTACAATAGAACTGCGAGATGACATTTAGCTCATTAGCAGCATTTTTTGTACTGACAATTGAATGTTATGTTTATAATGAAATTCTAACTTTATCATTACTTTGACTAATAATTTTTTCAAATGAAATTAATACTACAGGAAGTACTATTGTTAAGTTTCTTCTGTATATAGGAAACAAGACAATTTAATTCTTATGTCTATTGTTTTATTACTCCTTTATGATTAAATATTATCTAGAAAAATTCCTTATAACCAACGTTCTTTATAAAGTTTATAGATGTGTGTGTCCGCAGTTCTAAGCATCTTAATGTCATCTTGAAAATAAAAGTGGCTGTCATTTTATTTTAATAATAATATATTTTTTATTACTTGCTTGGATTACATGATTTCCTTAAATTAAAAAAACCTCCTTAATTTACAAATTAATATGTTATGCTACAATCATAAAACAGTTTAACTACTTTTTTATAAATATCAACTCAATTCCTTAAAGACTTTGTCCTTTAGCTTATAATATCTGTTCAATCGGATGTCAGCATATCTGAAAGCAATAACAAATTCTTCATATTGTGAAATGAGCAATAAATCTAAGATACTTACTGAAAAGTTACCTTCCAAAATCAAAGTCTATGTTTGAGAGTTCATATTGTACAAGTGACCATATACCCCACAAAAAGTGTGAAGCCAGTGCATGATGTTGTACCTCTCTGTACAGCTTTTCTATACTCTCATCAGAGGGATTCTCAACATTAAGGTAATCAACCAAGTATTTCTGAATCCACATTGTTTGAAATTCTTTATTGGGGTATCGGTTATAGTCCATGTCATCTATTGACAACCCTAAGGAGCAGAAAACGACAACATTAAAAAGTTCTAAAAAAAATTATATAGTATTAATAGCTGATAATGGTTTTTAAAATGTCTACTTGTGTATACTTTAACATGACAAGTTAACAGAGAGTATGCATATATATACAAAATAATATAAGACAAACACAATGTGGAACTATAGCCGCATTATTGCACAACACAATTTTTTTTTGCAAACATTTCTTCTATGTAACCTTCTTGCACACAAGATAAATACATTACAAAACAAAGACAAAAGACGGGTACAACAAATGGCCTTATTGCTAGATAGAATCAATAAAAAACGACTTCCCGCAAAAAATCACTAAAATGTATGTATATGTTACAGTTTATTATAGACACAAACAATTTCTCAAATATATTTAAAAAAAATAATTTCACATTTTTGAATATGGACTATTTTGGCCAGAACTAGCTCACATAAAGTGTGTCTCATTTTGATAGATTCTTACAATATTCTAACGACGGTTTTTTTGACTTGTAGAGAATCAAATTTTACGTTCAATAATGATATAATATTAAATTTCACATATATTAACTTACAACACTATTGTATTAGCAGTGCGATATATAAATAATAAATAAATAAATAAATAACGCACACACTCAACACAGCCCCGCACTAGGGAAACCCTGTGTCGCGGGTACCATGGACACACACATAGACAACCACAAATTACACCCAAACTCACGAGAGAAATAAATGTAAGCCATACAAACATTTCTCCCGGCCCGGGAATCGAACCTGGGACCTCTGCGTGGCAGTCCGGCATGGTAACCGTTCGGCCACGGAGGCAGTTAATATACGCGAACTCGAAGGACAAGTCGTTATATGGTAGTGATACTAGCCTGTTTTACTTTGGTCACGAGACACGACATGGTTTCAATCGAGATGCCCAAAACGACCTTAATTAACTCTTGATTGCCAAAACGCACTATATAATTTCTCTTCCTTCGTTTATCGCTAGTAATTTAAAATTTTGAACTGCTTAAAATTAATGAAACCGGATAATAAATACTTAGGTTTCGTTCTTAAAATGGAAGCCGCATCATGAAGATTAAATATGCGGTGTGCCAACAAAGTAATTCGAAGAGAAAACCAATCATTGCTGACAATGGGCCAATCGCTTTCTAAGTCCGAAATGTAAAATATTTTCTAAAGTTGATAATAGTTTAATTAGAGAGGTTTCGAGAGAGATGTTATCACTCCAATTAAGTACGTGTCTCCTTAAGTCTTTGGAGCTACATTTCTCCAGGACCTGATCAATAAGGTTGTCTTCTTCATTTACAAATTTACTCTGATTTCGTAATATCTAAACTGACATTAATGTGTTAAAATTATAATAAACCTATATTACGCCCACCTACTACAAACTATTGCAAAAATAATATTACATGAAGTTCTTACATTTTATGACGAAGCTAATAGGTACCTATTATAAAAGAAACTAAAAAACGCATAAATTGAAAAGGCTACAATATTTTGTCAAATAAAATCCATTTATTTGATACAAAAATATAATTAAATCAGTATTTCGTCACTAAGAGATCAACAGGGCAGGATTAACAATTTAGAAATTACGGGAGTACCTACCAGTCACAAAAGGAGAAAATCTGATTGCTCCCCAGAATAAATTATTGTATGGACGTGTGCGCAGGCTTGGTAAAGAATTATGTTACAAACTTGTTACAAATACATCTGGTTAAACGATTGCAAGATATTTGTTCGTAAAAGCGACACTTCAAAAGCAATTTCAATATCTAGCGAAGCCGATCTTATTAAAATAAAGTGACTAATAGCATGTTTATTTTGTTGGGTTTTTTATTATATTTACTATTTGTTTTGTTTTTTTGAGATATTTTTACACAACACATACCATAATTTTGTATTCATACATTCCAAAGATATGTCAAGGTTTAATTGTTTTTCTATATACCCACCATGGTAAAACGTTAATTCTTATTTCATCTTTTAGTTTAATTATGTGGGATGCTTAAAATTTTTTAGGACGTTGCAATTTCATAGAGGTGCCGAAAATGTTAGTGTCGTACTTGTTGTTTACAAATATTCGTACTTGTCAATAGGAATTGCTACAGTAAGAACTTTACCCTACTGCAAACGAGTGTGGTGCACTTTTTTTGTATGTATCATTATCGTAATTATGTTTTCACACCTGTACACCTTTTGAAAATAAACAAATGAATAGCGGGACTAAAATGATATCTATTTATTACCAAAACGTTAGGGGCCTGCGCACAAATCTCATGAATTCCCGAGTAATGTTTTGAACAGCAATTATGACCTTATCTGCATAACAGAGACGTGGTTAAACAACTCCTTTTACAATTCCAAATTCTTTGACAACCGTTTCGAACAAGCATTAGCGGTAAGGGGCGGGGTGGTGGGGTGAGTGTGGCGGTGCGACGGGAGCTGTGTCCTGTCGCGCGCCATGCATGGTGTGCACCGCCGCCCGCGGACGACGCGCGACGGTTGGGTGAGCGTACCGCTGCGCGGCGCCAGCGCTGCTGGTGGCTGTCTCACTAATACGCAAACGTATCACCATATCGTATGTACCTACATACCGCACGGCCCGCGCCATGAATCTCTTCTCACGTCGTTTTACGATAGGACTTGCGATATTATACATTCTCACCCGGACGATGTATTTCTTATTTTAGGGGACTTTAATGTAACTAATGCCACCTGGTACTATGATGACGACAACCTAAATATGTGTATTCGTGCCAATACCTACTGATTTATTAACATCTTTGACGAGTGACTTCCTAAGCCTATCTTTATTGTCCCAATATAACTGCATATACAACAATAATAGTGAACTCTTGGACCTTGTATTTTGTAACAAGTTTTGTAAAGTTGAATGTTCTCCTTTTCCTTTAGTACCCGAAGATCCTCATAAAATTATGTAATCACTTATAAAATTATGTAACGAGAAACGTAAGTTTCACAAAAAGTGGAAAAAATACGGTAATAATCGGGATTACAATACATTCTCCAAACTCCGGTCAAGGTTACGTAAAATGGAACAGGAGTGTTACATTTATTATAATACATTATGTGAGGAAAGAATCAAAAAAAATCCTAAATATTTTTGGTCCTATGTAAAGTCGAAAAAACAATCTGGTGACCCCTCAAAACATGGTCTACAATGGTAATGTTCTGTCAGAAGGTAGCGCAATTTGCGATGCATTTAACGAATATTTCCAATCTGTATTTGTATCGTCATTCTCACAACAAAATTACTTCCCTGACTTTAACTATTCTAGTACTATAGTGGCTATCAACTCGATAAAACTAAATGATAGTATTATCTTGAAGGAGCTCAAATGCGTCAATATTAACAAAGGAGCCGGACCAGATGGTATTCACCCAATTATAATTTCGAAATGTTCCGCAGATTTAAACGCGTCACAAGTATCTTTAAACAATCTATGAGTACGGGAGTCTTTCCTTCTATCTGAAAGAGGGCTCTCATAACCCCAATACCTAAAAATAATCAAAAAGATCAAATCACCCAGTACCGACCTATTTCTAAACTGTGCATTCTCGGCAAGATTTTCGAAAACATTGTAACTGCGCAATTATTCCATTCTGTTCAAAATTTTATCTCGGAAAACCAGCACGGGTTTATGAGGTCACGTTGTGTCGAATCAAACATGATTCAATTCACTAATTATTTATTGTGCGCTATGGATAATAACTTACAGGTAGACGTCGTGTACACCGACTTTTCCAAAGCATTTGAAAAAATTAATCACGATTTGCTCATAAAAAAGTTTAACAAGATCGGTGTACATGGCAGTTTGCTCAGATGGGTCGAGTCATACATAGGCAACCGAAGTCAGGCGGCCTGTTTGAGAGGTTACTGTTCTAAATTCCTGCCGATTACTTCGGGTGTCCTGCAGGGTTCCCATTTAGGTCCGCTACAATCCATTTTACAAATGTAATATCGATCGAATAAAAAGAGTCCAATGGATTCTTAATTTTCGTACTAATTGCCCAATTGAACCATACGAATACTCTCTTAGGCGTAATAAATTACTTACTTTACAATATCGCTGTAAGAAATCTGATATAGCTTTTCTCTACAAAATACTTAACAATAGGGTTGATTCACCGACTCTGTTATTGCAGATTAATTTTATAAATAAAGCTCGTTTATCAGCACGCCCCCAACGTAAAATAAAAATTTTCGTACCACCACGACTCCGTAAGAATTATACGAGAAACAGTTACTTTCATCGTTCGTTATCTTTATATAATAATACATTTTGTGACACGGATATGTTTGGTATCTCATTGAACAGATTTAAGGTAAGCATCTACAACAAATTATTTACTGTCTATGAATGCTGAAGCCGGTTTACATCCCGGTTAATTAGTTATGTTTTAATTTTGTCTAGTTCTAAGTAGTAATTTGTCTAAGCACCCATATGGTTCTTACTCGTGGTTATAACTATTCGCTTTTGGTTCAAAAACGCGTTTATTTTGTATTCTACTTATATACTTAAGCCCTTTTAGTACATGTCATTAATATTTAAGTGTAATATTCGGTACTCATTGTCTATAGTATAGTTCAAATTTCTGTATTAATTCATACTGTAATGACTGTTCCAAAATAAATAATAAAAAAAAAGAAAATAATTTCGTATTCGTATATTATATATTAAATCTGGGGTCCACAGTGTTAAGTATGGAGCTTCATACGTCTTTTAATTTGGTCGAGTATTTGAGAGTAATTGTTTCGAACGGATGTCGTCGGATGGAGAACGGGAGTAGGTACAGGGACTTTGTACAGTCAAGAGCACGTCAAGCTTAACATTTTGTACTTTGGACCGTTCTTATCACAAACATATATCTAGATATATGTTTGTGGTTCTTATCGTAAGCGGCACAGAGTTGGATTTAAATCTTAAATGTCAAGCTTGACCGTACGTGTACGTTTGTTACATCTATGTATATAGTTGTTGCCGAACTGTATAACCTGTTTCACTGAAATGCACTGTTTCGTTGTTTTCTTTAAATCCTCATTTATGTGAATATATATTCGCATTAGAATAAAGTTTGTCATATCCAAATACAGCACTACAGGATGTTAAAAAACAAGTTTGAAATTATAGGAAAAGTTTATATATCAGTCCTAAAATACAGGAAGAATTCGAAAGGAAATTCTCGATTAATTTTAATTACAGGCCTACCGCTTAACTGCGAGTCGGTTCCTGAGGTAGCTGCGCGGTGCTGGAGGAGTGACACCTGTCCATCCAGGTACTCCGGCGGGCGCTTACAACGTGCCAGATTGCTATTGGGGTTTTCTGTGAGCTCGCAAAGGCATTTGATTGCGTGGATCATAATTACTCTTATTAGGAAGCTAGATTATGGAGTAAGTGGCAAGGCGTTGGAACTTGTCTCGTCATATCTTAACGGTAGAATTCAGAAAGTAGACATACATGGAGTGACTTCTTTGCGTTCTCCGGTAAAAAATTATATTCATTTATATTAATGATCTACCATTCTTTGTTAAGGATCTTTGCGAAATAGTATTGTTTGCTGACACATCCTTGGTTTTTAAATCAGACAGACATGACGTTAACTATGATAATATTTATGATACCCTTTCAAACCCTTTTTTATTGGTTTAATATTAACAATTTATTGCTCAATGCCAAGAAGACAAAGTGTGTTAAATTTGAATTACCTAATGTAAAATCGACTAGCCCAATCATAGAAATAAATGGAGAAAAGTTGGACCTTGTTAATAAAGCTGTCTTTTTGGGAGTGACCTTAAATAGTAAACTCCAATGGTTTCCACATAATATATCTTCCTTGGCCATCAGATTAAGCTCTTATGCAGCAGAGCTGCGCAGTCCGTAGAATACGTGAACTTACCGATGTTGCTACTGCTGGACTAGTTTAGTTTAGTTACTTCCATAGTATAATGTCCTACGGGATTCTCAGGTGGGGTAAAGCAGCAGATATATAAACCATATTTGTGTTGCAAAACGAGCGATTCGTTCTGTGTACCGTAGGTTCCGCTTAGGATTTCTCTCAGAGAAAAGTTGAAGGAGACTAGTATCATGACTGTGGCATCTCAGTACATTTACTCAAATATTTTGTATACCCGTAAAAATATACATAATTTCGTTAAGAAAGAAGATATCCATAATATTAACCTTAGAACTAAGTCCAAACTCATGGTACCACGTTTTCGTTTAACTATAAGGTAAACGATTCTTTTATGGGGAACTGTATACGTTTTTACAATAAGATTCCGGAGCATATGGAAAGACAACGTGAGTCAAGATGCCACACAAATATGATTCAAAATGTAGGTATTCTATAGCATTTAAGTTTATTTGAAAAGAGCAATCCCTAGAGTTTTTTTTTAATAACGCACACACTCAACATAGCCCCTTGCTTGTTCTTCTAAGGGAGGTCAGCATAGTGATCGAGCAGTAGTTTAAAAAAATGACGTTTTCAAGTGTAAAAATTTTACCTATGGAATAAATGATTATTTGACTTTGACTTAGTTTGCCAGTTAGGGGACTATAGGTTTATATATTGTTAATTTTAAATATATATTTTTTGTAATAACTGTAACTGTTTATCCCTCAATAAAATATAAAAAAAAACAAAGAAAATACCGGGTTTCTCAAACTGGTAAGTCTTGCTTTGAACTTAGAATCTATTTCAATATAATTTTAGTGAAACAATTTTTAACAATATGACTGAACTCTCTTCATTAACTTGTCATTTCTTGTAAATACTTATAATATACGCTTTTATTGTTAGTTCTTACCAACAAATTCATTGAAATGATTTGCTATATCAAAGGCTTGGTAATTGTAAGTTGCATATTCATAGTCAATAAAGTGTACAATCCCTTTATGTTCATTGTAGATGACGTTTCCTAGAAGCAAATCATTGTGAGCAAACACAATTGGGCTCTCAGTTTTGGTTAAGTGCAATTTTAGGCGCTCTGACTCTATCCTTAGTCTTGTTATTGACCCAAAGCTATTGGAAAATCTACAACAGACATAGACAAAAAACATGTCCTTGTTATTATTTCTTGAGTTTACTTTTTTTGCCAAAATTGCTGACATTACAAAGGGTCAGCAGGAGAATCAATTAAATCACAATCAAAATTATTACTATAGCATGAAGTAAGAATACTTTATTGTGTATCAAAAGAAATTTACAATAATTGTGAATTAGCTGACTTTTCCCAAAAATTAAGATTTTCATATTCAAGTTTTGCATATTGCTTGTGCTAGATTTACAAAATGTCTTGCTAGGTATATAAAATTGATAGATATATCTTGTTAGTAAGAATACATCAATAGCAAACATCAAAGCGGTTTTTAGCATAATATACAGAGACATACCTTATTTGTTTAGCTTCAGTACCAAAAGGTTCAGGAAGTAAACTCAAAAATTGTTCTATTTTATCCCATACCATTGGTTCCTTTCTTATCTGTAAAAAGTTGTATTTTTTACTATATTTTATTTTTTATTTATTTATACATTCAAGGAAAATCAAAAGCTTGAAAACAATTAATAAAAAAACATAGTCAATAAGAGGTTTTAAATTCTGTTATCATAAAATTTATTTGTAAATGTAAAAATTTACTACTGCTACTACTATTACAAAAAGAATGCTGACAGCCATTTCAAAACAGAGATAAGCACTTGTATTTATGCAGGTAACTAATAAAAATCTTTGTTTACTTAGAAGACACCATTATCTAAATACCCCTCCAGCTCTATTCAAAGACTTTTTATGTAACTATAGGTATAGAGTTTATGGTATAGAATGTATTGTAAATGTTAATAAATGTGTATGTGCTGCATAAACAATGTACCTACTTACTTCTCTGTGTCATTGTGCTTACTATAGTGCATATATACAAGTCTTAAGAGATATGAAGTATAGTAGTAGTAGTATAAGCAGATATGAAGTACACATACACTGTTCAGACACTATGTTTATAATAATTATGTAGTTTAAATGGTAGTTAAAATATGTATCCTTTTATCTTATGATAATGTTAAAAGAATAGGTACATACTTCTTTCCCAAGCTCAACTTTGTGCATTCTAGCCATCTGCTGTGCTACCAAAGGCCATATTTTAATGTCTAACACAGTGTCAGGATTCAAAGTTACACCTGGATAGTACTGATATGCAAGTCCATTTTCAAATACACCATAAATTTTTGGAGCCATTCCCAATACATTTAAGATTTTGATGTTTCTACAAAAGAAAATTATTAAATGCCTGTGTATTAAGTTATTGAGCATCTAATTGAGGAGCTTCAGAGCAAAAACTGACAAATCTAATACATTTCAATTCTAATCTTGTCTAGTCTCTTAGAATGGATTTGTAACATTGTGTTCAGATCTGTGCATTGTAACCTAACCTAACCTATATTTAAGGCGGACTTAGCGGTTACTATTCAGGTTGAGTAAAATGTTCATAGAAACCAAAACAAAACTACTTTTTGGCACAAAAAAGAATAAGTCTAAATGTGACTTAACACTTTTTATTCTGACGCACCTCAATTCATGTAGTCAATTGAAGACTAGCTCACTTCCTTTCAAAACAAATTCTCCTTGAAATACTATGAGTGACAATTTATTACTGTCATATAGAATGCTAGTGTAACTACATATTATATTGAAATGTATATATCTCTGTATGTGTATCAGTATAAGACAATTTATCACTACCATTGCCTTTAAAATGATTTGAACAAATTAATATAATAATAATAACAATGCACACACTCATACCTGATACTCATACATAATGGGTCCTGTACCGCAAGTGCCATTGACACACAGAGACAACCAGAAATTACACCCAAACTCACAAAAGAAATAAATGTAGGCCATACAAATATTGATTCCAACCTGGGAACCGAACTCAGGCCCTCTGTACTGTAAGAACAGCATGGTAACCATTAGGCCTTCCAGGCAGTTAAAACATGAATATTGTGACATCTTATGCTAGCTAGTCAATAAAATAGTAGAATCTCACCTAATTTCAGCATTTCTGTCGATGAGTAGATCAGTTTTATTTCCATAAATTCGTACCAACACAACATTATCTCCGTCGCTTGAATCTTCACCAAATTGACAAGCAACTAATTTATTTGTTATTCCATCGGTGAAGGTCTGGAAAATTTATATAAAATAAGTACCCACCCACCACCACACCAACTGCCCATAGCTCCTAACAGTTAATTTCAATTAGATTATTTTTACGCCGTACCTTGAATTTAACGTTATCAAGAGGCCAAGAAGGTCTCAGTACTTTTAGAACTTTTGTTATTCCACCAAATAAATCATTTTCCTCGATAGTAACAGGCACAAACTTATCACCAGCTGTAATACAAAATAACGACATGGTTACATACAATAAAATTACTATACGATAATATCAAGCAGCAACTATTTGTACTTGATAACAAACGACGTGGTGGAGTACTAATGCTCATCTCGAAGGAATATGGCAATAAATATAGTAGTCAAGATACATTGTGCGACAAACGTTCAATCAATTTGACAAACTGACACTTGACAGCTGATTTTGACAAATGTTCTGCTAGCGCTTCCAGCTTGGTACTTATTATGGAATCGATCGATTATAATTTTAAAATCGGAATGACAAAATATGTTTTGAACAAGTCAGGTAGAAGCATAGAATTAGTATATAGGTAGAAGAGAAAAGAAGTAAATCCACTGTCATATTGGAGTATCTGGACCCTCTTTCCTTTATTTTTTTCCGTACTCTAGGGCTGGACCTGATTAGATCTACATTGAGGGTCGTATTCGAGAACTCTACTCAATGCTCAACTCAGGATCTGAGTATGATTTCAAGCACTCGAAATCATACTCAAGTCCCTGCCATTAGGGTCGTATTTCCAGTGCTTGTGTTGCCAGTGCAATCCTGACTTGAGCATTGAATAGAGTTCGAGAATACGACTCTCAGGGTCGTATTCTAGAATTCTACTCAATGCTCAAGTCAAGATTTGAGTATGGTTTAAAGCACTCGAAATCATACTCAAGTCCCTGCCATTAGGGTCGTATTTCCAGTGCCTGTGTTGCCAGTGCAATCCTGACTTGAGCAGACTTGAGTATGATTTCAAGCACTGGAAATACGACACTGGCAAGGTCTTGAGTATGATTTCTAGCGCTTTGAATCATACTCAAGTTCTGACTTGAGTATTCTACTCAATAGTAGAGTTGTAGAATACGACCCTAAGTGATTTAAGCAAAGGTCATTGGATGTATGGCAACCAACGTTTTCCTTGTCTTAAAGTAATGGTATAATTTAGTATTGTGAATATTTTCCTTTATTTTCACTCCATATTCTAACTAGTATTTTGTCAGTTTAACACTTGTTGACCTATATATGCCTTTATAGAAATAATAATAATAATAATAATAATAACGCACACACTCAACATAGCCCCGCACTAGGGAAACCCTGTGTCGCGGGTGCCATGGACACACACATAGACAACCACAAATTACACCCAAACTCACGAGAGAAATAAATGTAGGCCATACAAATATTTCTCCCGGCCCGGGAATCGAACCCGGGGACCTCTGCGTGGCAGTCCGGTATGGTAACCGTTCGGCTACGGAGGCAGTTTAAATAACACCAGAGTAACTTGTGCCGCGACTAGTGATGGGATTCTACCCGGGTAAATACCCAAAATGGGAAAATATCCGGGAATCATCATCATATACAGCCTGACTTCACCCAGTGCTGGGCATAGGCCTCTAAGTTTCTGTGCCACTCCCCACGATCCCGTGCCAATCTCATCCAGGTTCGCCGGGAATATTCCCATTTAATCCACCCGATGGGTATTTATTCGGGTATTTAGGTTTTTATTGTCCCCGCCTCTCAAAAAGTGGCAGAAAGTTTTGTTCGAGAAATAACGTCAATAGCGCCTCTCGTCCTATATGCTCTAAGGTTATTATAAACGAAAAATGAAATTTAATAATGTGTAACAGTTTTATCCTAGAAATGTTCATTTTAATTGTTAACTTAAGGGCGCATTTATTCGACACGAATTTCATCACGCTCACCCCGCGTGGTCGCCGAGCTGAGTCCGCGCGGTCGAAAAGCCGAATCCGCGTTGCCATCGCGTGGAACTAACTGTCATGCCAAAAAACGTCTATTTGGTTATCCTCTAAGATTTGGTTAGTTTTTACGTTTTAACTTAAATGAGCATCCCGGCTTGAATTTGGTCTACGCAGCGACCCGCGCAGAGATCGCGCGGTCGTCGAGCGAAGTCTGCGGCGGTTATATTATTCAGAGGAATTTAAATATTGTTGGCTAGTAAATAGAATTCAGGTTCGCCATTAATATACATGAAGGCGTAGTAACGGGGCGGTCGCCGCTATACTATACTATATCTCTTACGTGCGAGTAATAACCAAGCAGGTTTGATATTGACCTTTTCTCTCTTTTTAACCGACTTCAAAAAGGAGGAGGTTCTCTATTCGACTGTATGTTTTTTTTGTATGTATGTTACGCGATAACTCCGCCATTTGTGAACCAATTTTGATGCTTCTTTTTTGTTGGAAATAGGGTACCTTAGAAATGGACCGATTTAAATTTGAGAGAAAATATTCGGCCTCTAGGGGTGGTAAACTAGGGGATGAATCACTTCAGGTCGGTTTTTTTTAATACTCTGTACTGAGATTATTACATGTAAGAATAACGAGATCTACTACTAACGAGACCATTCTTAATGGTACGCTTTTTCTGAACACTATCCTTACTAAATAAAATTATCATTTTTTCCTTAATTAAATAGTTTTCAAAGAAAATAAATAGCAATGGACGCGAATCAGGACATTATTTTAATATGTACAATGCAGAAGATATTCTACTTCGCTAATGAATCTAGAAGGTATGCGACGAGATAACAAAACCTACAACCGTCCTCCGCGGTTAACGCACGCGTATTGCGATTGTATAAGCGACTCACAGTAGCGCAGTAACGAGTGACAAATTTTGCAAAGTTTTTAACCGGGGGTTGCTCAGATGGTAGAGCGCTCGCTTAGCATGCGAGAGGTACCCGGCGCCTCCAAGCTATTTCTAGCAAAAATACTTTTTATTTAGTAACCATTGACTTACAAATAAATGGACGACGGGTCTAATACAAAAACCACGAAAAAATGTCCCAAGTTAACCTATTTAAACGTAGGGACATGTAAAGGAATATGAAAAAGCTAAAACGTTGAATTTAAATTGTAATGTCATCGCAGTACTGTCTAATTTTGCTGGCAGTTCTGCCGACAGAACTACTCAACAGAACAGGTGGGAATAGAGGGCTTCGCTGTCAGTCGAACAAACGAAGACTAAAGCGTGAATGACGTTCTGTATACGATTTTAACGCTCTATAAGTTCGGACACTTTTTAGCGCGGACCCGACGTCCATATAATTGTAAGTCAATGTTAGTAACACTAGTGTTGCATCGGTGAAACGTCATAATCGTAGTTTGTTTTTTGATGAGTAGGTAATTACTAAATTTTGCGAAAATGTATGTAGTATAGCTATATAGTTATAATGTACTGCTCATTTACTTAATGTGTGTCTATCGGTGAGGACCTATAATTGGCTCTCCATTATTATAAGCGGTGTTGGGCAAAATTTAATTGTTCTGGCAATTAAAGATTGACAATTAATTAATTGTCAATTGCGAACCAGCAATTAACGATTGATCAATTGTTAGTTGCGAGAACCGCAATTAACAATTAATCAATTGTTAATTGCGGTTCTCGCAACTAACAATTGATCAATCGTTAATCGCAAATATCTACAATTAACAATTAATCAATTTTCAATCTTTTTGATTAACAGTTAAAACTGACAATTATGATAAATTTTTAGGGCATATGAGTTAGGGCGTTGGTTACGGGGGCCCCGGTTGGGAGGCCCGGTTGTGTGCCAACAGGCCCCTTAACTGGCCCCTTACCGGGCCCCCCCCAACCGGCCGGAATTGATTTTAATTGCAATTAAAATCAATTCAATTGAAATCAATTGCAATTCAAATCAATAGCAATTAAAATCAATTGCAATTAAAATCAATTGCGACGCGTCGCAATTGATTTAATTGCAATTGATTTCAATTGAATTGATTTTTTAATCTGATTGAATTATTGATTGAAATTTAATTGATTAATGCCCAACACTGATTATAAGATAGCCGTTGCCGAAAGACGCACATAAATAACGTGTACATGGCATTTAAAGAAATAAAATCGCGTCTGGCCGTTCTGCTTCCTGTAGCTTGATTTTGATTGCCTCTCCCTTTTGATATTTAAAATCGGAACAATCCAGTCCAGCCATCCTGACGGACACGTAACTTTGGAGTATGTGTTTTTTTGTCATTTTATTTTTCATAAATAGGTACGATACGAACTTCACTGAGTGAAAGGAACTTTTTTGTTAGACAATTCATTTACTAAACAAGCCCATAAGCTTTAACATTAAAATGCAGAAATAACAGAATGTAATGGTTGAACCATTTATTTGTAAAATGTACAATATAGGCCTAAGGAACCTATACGTAGATACATACATTAGTTTATATCATGGAATTGTAACAATAATTATTAAAACATCTGTGCAAATTGTAAAATTAATACCGCCGAAGAAGTTTTAACTGCATAAGCAGTGCTGTAAATACTGGCTTATAAAGACAAGTTACGAAATATTCTTGAACGAAATGAAATGTATTAATTCAGATCAGTAGGGCTAGCACGTGACTAGCGCGAGAGCGACATAAAGCGCGAGATACTGCTATTCTCGCATATACATCTCGCACTTTATGTCGCTCTCGCGCCAAGTCGCGCCTTATCGTGCTAGCTCTGCAGGTCACCTTAAGCTGTAATAGACAACAAACTGAACAGTTTCACACAGAAGTGAGTTTTTTTAATTCTTTCCTAAGTCGGAGTAACATGCACGCAGTTTACAGGGTTGCCATTAACCGTAAAATTTTAAATAGTCATGTAGTTAGCGAGTTTTATAGATAGATTGTGAAACTAATCAATTTTTACAGGAACGTGTGAATAATGGATGTTTTTACGTTCTAACGATTGATAATTCCATTATCGTCTTCTTTTGTTGATAGTTGACCCACTGGTATCGAAATCAATTAGTGAATTACAGAGGCTCGATTCTTATTTACTAAGCTGACGTCTATTTTTATTAGTTTTTCTTTTAAATTTTATAAATATTATTTATAATCAAATGAAACAAGTCTGCCATTTATTACGTAACGAATATACTGTTGATAGTTCATAGAATATAAATATAAATAAATCTGTAATCACTAGCTGCTGGTAAGCTGGCAACACTTACTTCGTCATGGAAAAAATATAGTAGTTAAACAATATAAATAAAAATTCGAACAAGGCTTTGCAATCGAATTTAAGTAAACTATTAGTGCAATAACTAATGGAGCAACATAAAAGCAAAAAATGCTCAAATCCATATTTTTAAACATATACGTTTAGGAATGATTGCCCATATCGGAACATTGACCAGAAGATTGTAAAATACTAAAATCGCACTGGTACTCACTATGTTCTTCTGTTCAGTACACATATTATGTAGCGAAGAAAATGCAATGACATGGTTAAACGTATACCAAATTTGAATTGGTAAGTTTTTTGAACACACAAATATTTAGCTACATAAGTATATAATCACAAGAACCATTAATTATTCTATAGTCTTGAAAGAAAAAGCAAATTTACAATAAAATATGCCCTGAATAAAAGTATGTACATCTACTCTTCCCAGGATTTATCACATCATAGCAACAATGGCAGGTTTTAGAAATGCTGTAAATAATTATAGTTAATACTCAGGGTTACGTCAAAATTATAATTCTATTGTTATTATAAAAATGTTATTTCATTTCAGTAGTAGTATTCGATTACAATATAATCAAACAGCCAACATAGCCCGAAAACGTAACCAAATACTCATTTAAATAAATTATTCACTATAGATTTGTCGACAGTGCTCGCAAAAAAAGTGAGCTAGTGTAGTTTGTATTATTCCTAAAAGAGATCTACTTGGACACGACATCGATATTCGTAAGTACATACACCAACGCGGCAGAAACTTTGGATATAGAGCAGGGTATGTATGCTTAACCAAAACCATTACATGCATTTTTATTTCATCTAGTGCATGCCTTTGTCATATTGATGACATAATGTCACAACATATCAAATTATACAAGAGCCGTGACTCTTGGCGGTGAGATTTATTTACCAGGAAATATAATAAAAAAAAAAATAGAAAAATGTAATATGGTTTATATTGGCCTAAACTGACACGAATTGCTTTATGAATCCCTTGCAAAACAAGGAAGCCTGCTAAATACTAGCATAATCTTGGGGACCACAAGATGCTACTTGCAAAGAGATTTATGCAACTTGTAATATTTGAATATCATGTCGCGTCTACGGTAGAGTAATCAGTAGTGGAGTTGAGTATAAGGTAATGGGGTGCGGGCAGTTCACTCGACGTCCATCTGCTCTTGCTGAGAGTCGGGCTGGTGGCCGGCAGGCTGCCCATCGCCGGCTGTCGGGTTCGACGCCGGTGGAGGAGTTTTCTCTTTAGGTTTCGGTTTGTTTAGGATGGGATTCACCGTATTTTCAAAAGTCTGGAAAAAATAATGTTTTAGATTAATTAATTTGTAAAGGTGCTAGGTTAATGTGATAATTGTGGGTTGGAAATATTAAGCAAAGGGAAAATCTCAAGTTCTACTGATTTCAAGGAGATGTCGTCCTTGTCCTGTTAATAACAGGATTTAGTGCAATACAAACAAATGGTCAAGTGATATGAAAGATACCTGTCGCTCGGTGCGAATCTGGTGCGTGGTGTGTGGCGGCGACTGGTAGCGCGGAGTGTGCGCGAGTGCCTGGCGCGCCTGCTCCAGCCAGTTGAGCGCGTTCTTGCATGCGTCTATCACTTTCTGAATGTCGCCGTCGGTCAGGTGCGAATATTTCACGTCGCCCGCTCTTTAAATACACAAGTTCATGTAATTTTATAAATCGCGTAGGTGACATTATTTATCTCACGACATGCAGTGTGATTCTCTGTGGCCGGACCACTAATTACTCGGATAGCGTAGTACGGAATAATAGATACCTAAAGTCTACTTTCCGAGACATACAAAAAATAATAAGTACCACGAAGAGTTACGAGGCTCTTCGAGGTACATTTTACGGGTCAATAACCTGTGATGTTATTTGAATTTTGTGGCAGAGAAAAATAAGAATCATTCTAAAGGTACTTTTTTTGCTTTGCTTTAAAAAGTACTTTTTGTACAAATTTCTTTTATATGAGGAAAACTTATAAATTTTTTCGTAATATTGGCAATAAATTCAACAAATTCTAGATGGCAGAGATGCATACTTTCGAGGTTATTAAACAAATTAATAGCGTAATTGATTAAAATATATTTATATAAGCGGGAAGCGGGATGTAGTATAATGGTAGTATTCTTTGAAGACTTAAAATTAATGTAACAATTACCATCACCAAGTTGACACGCTTTATCAAAATTTCATCACGCTTTTTTGAACCCGAGGTGGCACGGCGACAGAGCGGGCTTTGCCACCGGACCACCTACACGGTTAAACGAGATACTAATCATTTTGTTGTACCTCAAGGAAAGTAGACCTTTAGGTAACTATTATTTCGTACTACGGCATCCCAGTACTTAACGGTGATCCAGCACAGAGGGTTACACGATATTAAGAGGTGATTCAATTCAACGCATTAATAAACAAGTTCTGGTTACGGGGAGCCCCTCATAATTTGGAAAAAAAAGATGTTCATAATATATGTCACTTTGAATATTCACTATTATAATATGAACTTTTTGTACTTTTATAGGGGAACTTAATCGTAAATTTATTCATTGATTGGTAGAATGAACACCGATGTGTGAAGCGTCATTTATTTTACGATTCGGGTCAATAATAATTAATTTCTGATTTACTTATAATTGTTAATAGTGCTCGCTCATCACTTTATGAGCGGAATACTGGTATTTATAATACAATACTATCCACAACTAGCAGGCCGTAAATAGATCTAATAGCATAGAAAACCTCCTTACTTACCTGTATTGATCAACGGCTTTATTAACTAATTGAATAGCTAATGAGAAATCGTCTAAAGCTTGCGGACGAAGTTCAAATTCGAGACGGCGTTGCTTGATGGGCTCTCCTTCCGTCTTTAGTTCGTTAAGTTTATCACAGTACACCTGTAACATACATGTTCGATCATTATTAAGAAGACGACAACTGAACAAAAACATATCAAATAGAATGCCGCAACATAACTTGGGACACCTACATTTCACAGCCACTGACTCTGAAATAGCCTTGACGCTCACAATGAGAAAGACATACTCTTTCACACTTCGTGGCCGAACGGTTACCATGTTGGACTGCCACGCAGAGGTACCAGGTTCGATTCTCGGGCCAGGGGAAATATTTGTATGGCCTACATTTATTTCTCTCGGAGTTTGGGTGTAATTTGTGGTTGTCTATGTGTGTGTCCATGGCACCCGCGACACAGGGTTTTCCTAGTGCGGGGCTATGTAGAGTGTGTGCGTTATTACTTATTATTACTTACTTGTTACACATTTACAAAATTTCAGTTATAAATATCAGGATGAGTTTTAGAAATGTAAAAATTTCACTCTGATCTCATTACACTCTTTAGACCGAACTTGTAACATGGTTGCGATTTGAACAACATTTTTCTCATCTAATTCTATTACATATTAATTTTCACTTGCTTTTTGTTCTAGGTATCTAATAACGGGATGAATAAGTCGTGCGTCTGGTTGTAATCGACACGCCCTACCACAACAGTTGCAGTGTTACTCAGAACTTATAAAAAGCAATGATCTGCAAGGTACTGCCACTGCACCCGTCACCTTGCATTGAAACACGTTGACAAGTCCCATGTTCTTTTTCTTGATGAACTCTTTCATAAGGAGTGGACTTACAGCCCTATTTATAACACTTTACACTCTTAGCATTAACTATCATTACATAGTTCTATAAATAAACATACCTGCCGGTTTTGTTCTTCGCCCTCATCGTACAACCATTGCTCTACATTGTCCAGCTGATTCACTAGCTTGCTGCGTTGGTCGTCCGCCACGAATTCGTGCAAGGTCTCCCCTTCCGACAGTTTGCCTCGCAGCTCGTACACGTATTCTTCTAGAGCGTTGCGAGCGTCCGCGCGTTCTTTTTCTTGCCTATCTTGAGCCTGCATCTTGCCCTAAAAAATGGCGCAGAAAATTTATTAAATTTTGTGTAAATACATCTCGTAAAGGTCTACATTTTAAATATAAACAGGTGATTCTACATTAATTACGAAGGTAAAATTTCATAAATATAAATATTCCAAAAACTTATGTACTGACTTCTTGTTCCATGTGAGTGTTGAGTTCATGTTGTGAGTATCCGTGAGTGCGGGCGTCTATGGGGAGTTCCACGGTTTTGATGAGCACCTTCTTGGTTTTTTCCTTAGATTTATCCTTTTTGTCATCGTTGTCCTGAAAATTAGAGCGGAAAAGTCTATAATTTCGCAGCATGTGTTAACCCCACCGTCGCAACAGCTTGGAAAGGCAAATTTGCAGCAGTTCCGAGCTCTGCGGCGACCCATTTGCACCATCTTCAATGTAACCTAAATTACGAATAAAAAACCATACGACATACTTTTACCATCAGGGTTTTTTCAACACTACAAATTGATATAATCAATACAAAATTGCGAGTTCAACAAAAACATGCGTGGACACAGAGACAAAAGAACGATTGTTGCAAGAAAGCAAGCATACTGAACAAAGGCAATATCTTTAAGCCTTACAATAAAATTTTGTGCAAATGGGACCTCATAATGAGAATGGGGAAGACAAATTGCTGACTCTGTGTTGTCTGCTGCTCAGCTAACGCTAATGTTTTGATTAATTTCCGTGTTTATTAGTCAAATCTGGGTACCAGGGTGTCACACAAATGCAAATGATTTTTATGCAGCTGACTATTTCTTCAATATTTTTGAAAATTAAATGTTGAAGAAGTAGTCCGTGGGGAGCTCAAGGGGTAAACTAGGAAACAATGAAGGAGGGAACTGGCAACAAACAGCACGAGCGGTCGACACACGCGCTACCGACACGTACCCCGCTGAACCACTGGCCTACTCTCTGTGTCCACGATTGTTTTTGTTGTGGCTCTCCTTTCATGTCATCTTCTCTCACCTCTTGGTTTTCGGGCCCGTTTTGTTGGTTTTGCTGGTCTTGGTTAACACCGTTGGTGTCCATCGGAGCTTCTTGGTTGTTGACTTCGTTCGCGTTTTCCATCTCTATGGTTTCGTTTGTGGAATTGTCCTGTTTCTTCTCCACGAGCGAAGCAGACGCGACGGTAACAATACCGTGAATGTTCACTCTTACTTTAAGTTTCACTTTCTGAGACTCTCCTTCTGGAGTTGGTTGCACATCTCCAATACTCCACTGTCCTAAAAGACAACATTGCCACGACGTTTTTATTTGACCAAGACACACCCTATTTTATATCAATGTTATCATGTAACCACAACTATCTACATACCAACCAACATCCGCAGTACGTAAATGTAGTACAATTATTTACGGAAGATAGTAAAATAGGGTACACATACACAAATATACTTACCAATAAATGTATCAGGGAAAGGTACTTGGTCAGAATAGTAGGCACTAACTGTGAAGGGCTCTTTCCTGTAGAAGGTTAACATTTTCGAAAATGGAGCTGCATGGAAAGCTGGGAACACCTGTGAACACAATTATTTTTCTTATCAATTTAACTATTACACTACTTTTTGAAGATGGTGTAATATGACAATTCATTTCGCAAAATTGTTGCCCACTTTCAAGCAACTAGTGATTGCAGTCGATAAATATTATACCGATCATCGACTGAATGTTGAAATGAAATGAAAGAAGAAGTTAATATATGTATGTAGTTAATGTTAATAAATTTATTAACGTCAAAAAATATTAATTGGTTGTCACAATGACATGTCATGTTATATAAAAGTGTAGTCAACCTTAGACTATGGAAACTAAAGGACATGTTATGTTGACATATATAAATCAGATGTTAGACACCGGCATTGGTTGTAGAGCGACCCCGAGTGAACCAAATTGTTTAGAAGACATTAAGTTATTACTACAAAAATGTTCACACATCTGATTTAGAATATTTTTTTCAAATATTTTACTGAGAGTTGGTAGTATTGATATAGGTCTGAAATTGGTGGGGTCAGAAATACTACCAGATTTGTAAAGTGGAATAACTTTACTTTGCTTCATGAGGTCAGGAAAGACACCATCATCAACACATTTATTAAAGACACAGGCTAAGTAAGACGCAATACAATCAACTATAGAACTAATTACTCTGACTGAAAGACCATCAAGATCAGCAGTATTTTTTATGTTTATAGACTTAAAGGCTTTAACAATGTCGTTTGGAAATACATGACGGAACCTTAAATTAGTGATACTAACTGCTTTTCTTTTATTATTTAAAAGATGGGAGATAAATTTAACGACTTTGTAGTCAAAATTGGAATGTCAGTAAAAAAAAATTCAAATATTTTAGCAACTTCTGCATCTGTGTTTACAAATTTGTCCTTAAATCTTAGTTGAAAATCTAAGTTACGAGGTTTGACCTTTCCAGTTTCGCTGTTAATAATATTCCAAGTCGTTTTTACTATTCGCGCTGCTTTTAATTTTATTATTTATAAACATTGCTTTGACTGCAACACTAACACGTTTAAACATTTTCGAATATTTCCTAACAAAATCATTAAAACTGTTACTAGTGTTAGAAGTCCTTTCATCGTAAAGATCATATAGCCTTTGTCTACTTTTGTGAATTCCCACAGTCGCCCAATCACTAAATTTCAATGAATTATTAATATTATCTGTGGTAATACAAAGAATATCAATATCATTACAGTTAATAAATAATTCTATTTCTAACTCTTAGCCTTTCATGCCAGGTTTAATATACAATTTATTTTATTTCTGTGTGTTTTAGGTTGGTTTTTTACTGTCATTGTGTTGAAAGAGTATTTCTCACGCACGTGGTTTAAATTCCGTTTTAATTCCGTATTAGTCGATTGCTCAATATTTCTTGAAGTTGAAATTGGAGGAATAGGTTTAGTTTTTTCCTTTCCGGTGTCGTATAAAATGTCGTGAATCAAAGTGTGGTGCGCATTGTTGAAAATATCTCATTCTTTTATTGTTGTCAATTTGTTCTCTGGAGTCTTATTCTGGTATTCTTTGCAGTGAATGAGAATGTGCTTTTGTTTGCACAAGGGGCAATTCCGTGTTACATTTGCACTATATGTTTACGGATTGAATCGTTTGAATTCATTTCGTCGAATAATTTGGAACTGTCCTTGCTGTTGATTAGAACTTGAAGGTGTTTCTTTGAAAACCATGTTCTTTGTAGTGTTTGAAGGCATTTGTTTCTTCTTGTTGATTGGCTCCAAAGCAGTAAATTTTCCTTCTAGGAATCCGATGAATTCGTCAAAAACGGGTAGTTCTCGTGGTGCTTTTCTCATTTCCATATAGCTGGTATAAGTTTCGGCATCTAGTTTCGTCGTTAAAATGTGTACCAGAATAGGATCCCACGTTGTTGTGTCGACACCTAAATTATGAATCGCGTGTATTGTCTGTAAGCTGGTGTAATGTAAACGTTTTAACTCATACGCGCTTTGACTTTGAAGTGCCGGCTGATTCATAAATGTTTGTATTTGCTTTGTAAAAAGCAACTGAATGTTGTTGTATCTATTTAACTGACTCCGTGGCCGAACGGTTACCATGCCGGACTGCCACGCAGAGGTCCCAGGTTCGATTCCCGGGCCGAGAGAAATAGTTGTATGGCCTACAATTATATCTCTCGTGAGTTTGGGTGTAATTTGTAGTTGTCTATGTGTGTGTCCATGGCACCCGCGACACAGGATTTCCCTAGTGCGGGGCTATGTTGAGTGTGTGCGTTATTTATTATTATTATTTATTTATCTATGGGTTAAAATGTCCCAGCATATGTTTTCCGACGATACAGTTAAATATTGTATAATACGTTCAGCTTCACCTTCTCAGCTTTCCTTTTAGGTGTTGTATTTTTTGAACTTTCGAAAGTGATGGATTGTTGTGGATCGCTTCACAGTAGCGGTCCATAAATGTGGGCCAATGCGCGTATCTCCCAGAAAACGGTTAGGCTCGGTATTGATGAACTGGTGCATTTAATTTGATGTTGAGTTTCTTCTTGATGTGTTCATAAATACACTTTATGACACTTTATGAAAGTATTAACCGGTTAACCTGACGGTTTTCCACGTCACTTTGTCCACTTATTAAACCTGATGAAATCACTATGTATACACTTAAAAACTGTATAAGTATATTTTGTAATGATATTATTTAGTAATGAAATGGTGTTTTACAAGAATAACACGACAAAAACAATTAAGTTAAGAAATAAAATTATGGAACACTTAAGTTTACAACTTAACCGCTGGCTTAACTTTACTGCAGTAATTTTTACAAACCATTATTTGTACTGCATGATTGACAACCGCGCTGTCATTCGAACAAACGAAGACTATTGCGCGATTGACGCTCTGTATGCGAGTTTAATACCCTACAGGTGCGGACACTTTTTAGCGCGAACCCGATGTCCATTTATTGGTACGTTAATGTCTGATACATAATTATTGATTGTGATTTCAGTAGTGCATAATCTTGGTTTAGTTATATTGGCGGTTCCGTTCACATCATGACTTTTTACTGATTGTAGTTGTTTATCTAGTGCATGCTGGAGGGATGTGATTTTTAAATCTTTTTTGTTTATATTTTTCAGCAATGCGGCTTTCTCCGAAAGCAATTTGAATTTCCGCGAAGTCCAGTTGTTCGTGGAGCATCCTATTCCTTTTTTCCATTTTCTCAATTGCTTCATAGTTGTCGGTTCGGGCGAGTGGTCTGTCTTTTACATCATCACAATTGTCGCTAATTGAGAGCGATTCGAACGAATTATGGGTTTGAATATGAATCACCTCTTTGTTATGAAGTCCCACACTCTCGAAACCCGATTCACGTGGTCTACTCTCGATCTCCGTCCGACATCCGTCCGAAACAATTACTGCCAAATAAGCAATACTTGACCAAATGAAAAGACGCGTGATGCGAATGACGCTTCATAATGGATACTTGTCTTTTAATTTTGTCGAATATTACTTATTTGACAGTAATTGTTTCGGACGGATGTCGGACGGAGATCAAGAGTAGCCCCCCTGTATCGATCAACTTTTGCCCTGATGATAATGGTGAAGGTTTAAGTTCGGGATCTGCACTACGACAGTTTGATTTATATTTCGTTTTCATATGAGTGGATGTTGAAGAGCGTTTAGCTTTGATGCACATATATTGCACTTCCATGTAGTACGTCATGATTTGTCTAGAAGGTCGCATCTTTTGGTAGACTTGTGAACACTCTTCAATACAGTAATTATTTTTACAACTTGTGCAACACAAATTTTAACAGAACAAACAGTTTCTTTTTATGGGTTTTTTGCATAATGTGCTACTTTCCGTTCTTGGGGCCATTATTGTTATAAAATTAAATAATCAATTATATATAGGAAATGAAACTATTTTTCCAGATTTAAATCGCGTATATTTCTTTTTTCAAACAAACCGACGTTTCAAATATACGCGATTTAAATTCGGAAAAATAGTTTCATTTCCTATGTGTAACAATCGCGAAAACCTAAGAACTCAATATAATCAATTATAATTATTATAATTAATTAATTAATATAATTTCTTTCATATAATTGATTAGTAGATTTGTAGTTTCGACTACAGTCCTCAGATGGCGCCACCTCCACACAAAATAATGTCTTCGATACATTAATAAATTGTTCAGTCAACAGTTCAATGTCTTAGGTTTCACAATGGTTTAATATAATAATCTCTGAGCGTTAATTAATCAATGAAAAGTTGTTAAGATTTAAAACGTAAAAAGCACTATTTCACTGTGGCTTAGCATCTTTTAACAAATTTATCTTAACACGTATTAAAGGTTCTTCATAAAACTTGGTAGCCCGGGAAGGTTCAAATTTACTTCAGATAGTTAAATCGATGCAATTTACATCGAAATATAAAAAAAAAAAAGAAAAAAAAAAGAAATAAAATTGTCTATTTATACTTGCAACTCGGACGCTGAAGGCAACTGCAACAGCCACTCGACCAGTGCGACGTTTAATACAGCGGTGAATTTAATCCTTTGTAGGAAGCACGCTGAGTCTCTTATAGCAGATCTTTATAAACGCATTTCAAATAGGGTCCAAAGTCCAATTTGCCATTTCAAATGTTAAGTACCTACATAACTGATGGATATTTATTAAAATGTTTAAAATAAACACTTTTCACTTAACTAATCATTGCAGATATTTATTATTTCGTTTAATATTAGCTGTTGAAATTATTTTGTCCCAGAATGACACAGATTTAACATCCATTTTCAAACGAAACAGTCTTAACACTTTGGTATATTATTTTGAGTTATTTACTATATAAAAAAGTTTACAAACACTTGCACATAATATTTGTGTATACACCTTTGTTTTTAACTGATTGTCGAAGTTAATTATTCACTTTTAATAATTTTAAGCAAATCAAACGTAATTCAGATTGTTTACTTTATGACGCCCTCTGGCGGAAAAAGTACATAACTTAACATTGTACTACATAATTGTATATACAGTTCGACTACAGAATCCAATTGAGTAGCTAGTTGTTAACTGTTATTTAGCAAGGATATAAATGTGATTTTGTTAAAATTAATAATTTAAGGGTGTAAATTATTACTTTTAAAAAAAGTTTCTGAAATATAGTCAAAAGTAACTTTTCAATTTCACATTTTGGGTTCATGTCTAATAACCTCATGTTATTTATTAATTTATGGTCTTATCGCTGTAGTAGTTTCAGACTCTTGGAATCACAAATTTATCCAATGTCATTGACCTTGTTTTATAATTATTATCAACCATTTAAGTACAAGTAACCAATCAATTGGTTAATTAATTTATATTAACTGCTTAGTACGTACCTCCATGTCCCCGTCCTCGCCACGCGCGGCGTCCCAAGCGAGACGCACTGCGTAGGGTTGCACGTCGGTGATGCTGAAGTCGCGCACGCGCACCGCGGGGCTCAGCATAGCGCATTGTAGCGCACAGCCACGAGACACTGCCTCGTCCTGGAATTTGTTTTAATAAATTTCTTATTCCGAACTCTCAATGTTTAATCAGGCTTAATTTAATTCTTTATGGACGCTTATTGTGACGCTAGTAGTCCTGTGATGACTATTATCCTATTTATTGACATTTTCCGTAAAAGATAACCATGCACTTTATTGTATATTGTCACAAAAAAATAATAAGTAAAAATCACCTGATTCAGAGTAGTCGAGGCGTGTTTCCCAAAAACTTGTTCAATCAGGCCTTTTACAGCAGGAATTCTTGTGGATCCACCTACAATCTCCACAGAGTGAATGTCTTCAGGTCTCAGCTCTGGGAAAAATATAGATAGGGATTAACTTTACTGTTTTATGTCATTTATCATGATTGTAAAAGCATGATATTCAATAAAATAAATATTACATAATAATTTACTGTGTTTTTTCTTGTTTCTTCTTCAAGTTTATAGGTATTCGGTATTCGGCCGAATAGTGATACAATATTCGGTAGTCAGCCGAATAGCAAAAAAGTAACAGTCCAAATAACTGAACATAGAACAGCTACCAAATATTCATTGCAACTCAAATTAAATTTCAAATACAGATACAAGTAGGTAATGTCACATACTAGCATTATGCAGAATAGCACGCAGTGTTCTCTCGACGCGGTTAAAGGTGTCAGCGCAGATATGTTCCATCTGTGAGCGCTGCATGTCGCCGGAAACATCACGTTCTTCCATGAAGCACTCGATGTTTAGAGGAAGTCGCGTACTATTCGCCGACATTTGCTTTTTCAACTTCTCCACTTCTTGCAGTAAGCGGAGGTATGCCCTGAGATAAAATTAGTAACACGATAAAAATCACTGACAATTAGTATAATAATCAGGTAATATTGACAAAGTGGTGAAGGATGGGTTAACCTTGACAAAAAAATAGTTCATACTTGGTATGAAGGTTGGTGATTAGGTTAAACAGACATGTGTAAACTGTTGTGATAGTGTAGCATATCTCTTCGACTTATCACTTAACTTTTATTTTACCAATTAGAAACAGGAATCACATATCATTATGAAAGTGTTATCAACAGATTACAAACTGTTGTTAAAATGAACTCATCAGTCAACAGCAGCAAATAAATTATTCACTCACAAAATCACATAAACCGTAAAGATTGTGATTCATGGAATTCACGACATTTGATCAAACTTGTGAAACATTAAATTTTATTCTTGGCACATTACCAAAATATTACAGCTTTAGTTCTTTGTTGATATAATTCTGATCGATGTGCGATAGATCCAATTTTGCAATAAATATTAAAAGAAATAAAAAAGTACCTTTGATTTTTTCTTGGGTCCAGCTTATATCGGGTGACAAAGTCTTGGCTGAAGTATTCAGCAAGAGCACTATCTATGTCTCTACCACCACAATGCGCGTCTGTAGCAGTGGCTAGCACTCGCAATTTACCCTTGTTGAATGCACAAGCGGCAACCTTAATAGAGAAAAGTTTACGCTTTGTTTAATTTACATTAGATGACCAATTTAAAATTAATAAGCTTTATGACATTGTACATAGTTATTTAGGAGTCCTTTAATGTGTGAATATTAAGTACGGCATTCACATCAAATTGTAAACAAGTTTCTTCTTTTTTTTCTTCTTTTCTTCAGATTTTAGCACGTCATGACAGTTTACCTGGAGAGAGCCATGTCCGAAATCCACAAAGATGACATTTCGAGGTTTCTCCTCAGCTGCGGGTAAGTCTTGTTTGTAAATACCATAAGCTAAAGCAGTGGCAGTAGTTTCATTCATCAAACGCAGTACATTGAGTCCTGCAAAAACCAGAAAAATATCTAAGCAACCTACTTTAATCCATGGTGTAATATTGACACAGGTAGCTGTATTGGTACCATTAAATGATTTGAATGTTCTAGCTACACAATAGAGCGTATTGATCTTTTGTTTCCTACAAGGTCACTAAGGTTTAGGGTTCAGAGCATTTACAGGAAATTTCCAACCATGTCCAATTTATATTAAGCATTTACCAAATTAGAATATTTTTAAGTCACATGTTATTCATGTTACATTAACATTATACCAATATTTTATAAACGAGTTCCTGTTGTGTTAAGGAAAAAGCGTGTGTTAATGCCCTTAGAATGCTCACTGAATTTACAATTTTTTTGTATGAATCAAAATAATTAAATTCCAGTAACCAAGTCCCTTCGCCTATCTCAATCGATTTTCTGTTGCACTGGACACACATGTTCATCAAAGCTGGGCGCTGTCTCATCTTGATATATTTATTATTATTAGTTATTTTCACGCGTGGGGTGTGTCATATCGTATTGCAGGTTTCTAGGCCCATTAGTTTTTAAAATTTGAACTTACGGCGCCTATCTTCAAGGTAACTTCATAAACACTATTATAGTGCACAATTCTTATATAATCTGTACTCGATTATGTATAATTGCACTTGGAGAGCGTGTTTGGGGTGCATTAACACCCCAAGCCACTGTTTCTGTAGACGAATTTCCGTAAATATATTTTATTATTATTATGTATTTAAATAAAACATTTATAAAAATAATACATTAGTATTTTTAAAACTATGCTGTAATGTATTTTTTTGTTTTTGTTTTAAAGTAGCAATACAACGCTATGGGGATTGACTGATTTAGAGATTGAAAGACAAAGAAGAAGAAGCTATTGATAGTGAGCTGATGATGAGCAACATTGTGAAGTCATTGTAAGTGACCATAACTGTGCATCAGAATAAAGCGAAATAAAGTACACTTCCTCAACCACTCCTTAATATACGACACAAGAGAATTGAAAGTGAGGATTTTGAACTAGCACCTGGAGCAGTCTGATCGCGTTCATATAAACAATGCCATGTATGTCCTTGAATCAAGGTCCAAAAAATAAAGATGTAATTTTCCAAATGGTTAAAATAGATCACATAATTCTAGTCTGCCAAAATTGTGAAGAAAATTAGATTTTACAAATGTTATTATTTTTTTTAATAATTATATATATATATTAAGTCTAAAAGACATATATAACTTTCAAATTAAGTGTGTTCAAATATCGTCATTAACAAAACTCTGATATTGCATGTAATTTATATTTCATTTCACAATTCTAATTTGTGGTGATGCACAACTCCACGCGATCTAATGCATAACTTTTTTGGTGCAACTAATTACGGGTTAAAGGCCAAAAAAAGATTGCTAAGGACTAATTGGTGTTTGCTACAATAACAGAATAATAGTTTTTGATTTCTAAGCGAGTAGTGTAAAACCTGAGGTCAAATTTATCTTACCAGCAATGGCAGCAGCATCTAAGAGGGCATTTCTCTCGGCATTCGTGAAGTAACTGGGGACAGAAATGACGCAGTCCTTGACCTGTGTCTGCAGGGCCACAGCAGCATCCCCCTTTAACTTCGTGAATAGCATTGCTGTGATCTGTCAATTTTTAACATTGATAATGTTAGTAAACCAAAGAAACATCTGCAGTCCCTACATGAAAAAATTAAGATATATCCCAAACAGATGCATACAATTAGTATTCAGGTCAGTGCTTATTTTACATCTCTTCTGAGACCTACATGAAAGGTTTAAAACAGGTCTTGACATACAAAAGAGAGTGACGAGTTACAACCATCCAATATATGAGTGTAAATAACATAGATAAAAGAAAGTGTAAATAACATTAAAAAAAAGAAAAAAAAAACCATTTGAACACATATTATATGAATTTTAACACCAAAAATAGATAATGAAGGCATAACACATATAATATATTTATATTCATACAATGTTCTTAATTATAATATATTAGGGGTTAAAGTATGAAATTGCCGTTTTATTGCAATAG